CCTAGCATGCATAAGCCATTCAGAATGGAGATTTTAAAATAGTCAGCAGGTGGCAGAAAGCAAAATTGGCATTTGCTTTCATTGACATAAAGTTCATTTTCTGACAAAGATCCATGGTAGTTTAGGAGCCTGATGGTATTATGCACGCTACGTACTGGGTAACCTTCAGCACTGGGGAAACAGGATCTGAATATAAAGTATTAGAGTTCTCCCCTTAAAGCTATTTGTGAGTGGGGAGTAACGCTCCCAACACCAGGTTCCTGTGGAAGGGTAATAAATGAGCCCAATTTACATGTTGTGTAGTGTGTTTTCTTCCCTTGGGTTTCTTGCAACCTTCTTTTTGTTAAAATAGTCTCTTTGCTCATGCTCTCTTAAGCTGTGGTGCTGAAGCCAACAGAGATTGTGGGTTTGTGGTGGAATGTGTCAATGTAATTTCTACCACATATTAACTGGACAGACATCCAATATGCCAGGATTTCTAAAAATACATTACACAATTACAGGAAGTAAGCTATAAGAAAAAATGATGCCCGCTGCTTCATCAGTCTGAACAGCAAGCCAGATTTATAGGAGGAAAATAAATTAAACATCGAAGGAAAAGAAAGTGGTAACCAACTCAGAAAACAGCCATGGGAGCCTGGAGGTTTAGCTCCTTGAAATGAAGGCTTTTCAAAACTTCCTTCAAGTGTTCTTTGTTCCTTGTGACCTTGATAGTGGGATTAATAGTTTGTACCTGAGATACATTGTGGCTCTAGCTTGACCGAGGAGGAGTTTCGGACATTATAGGACAGGCTGGTTTTCTCTCCAGGAGTTGTGGACAGTCTGTACTTATATCATGTTTTCCATGCTTCACTTTGAGGAACACCTTTGTGAATATGTGTTTGTCTCAGCTTTTCAAATTTGGGCTTCAAGAGTTGATGTGTGAATTTCTTTGGGCAAGCCTTGGGGAATACTCAAGAATATTGGGGAATACCTCATCCCATTGCATTGTCTCTTGTAATTTCTGAAGCACAGATTTGTCAGTCCATGCATCTTGAGCTTAGTAGGATGAGTTAAACTCTGAGAATTGCTTTTTTTTTTTTTTTAAGACAGCTTTCCATTAATTCTGCATTACCTTGCTTTCCGAGTTTAAATCTTAAAGCCATACTTAAAGTACCAAAGAAGGTTTAGCCACACTATTGCCATTCGATGTGGGAAATGGAACAGCTAAGCCCCTGCATATATGCAATAGCTTGTACATTGCTGGGTGGATTGTATAATTCTTCTTCATATATTAAGCACCCAAGTGCCGATTTGTGTACATATGTAGGTTCATCCTTTACCAATTTCCTGTGACTGATAGTTTCCAGGAGATTAAAAGAATAGCTGGTTCCTGGTTTTTTTTTTCCTCTGCTCTTTATTTTTGTCCTTTAGCAAGAATATTTGTGTGTGTGTTTAATAGCATTCATTCCCTAGAGAATAATCTCAGTCCTTGTTTTAGCTGGCCTCCTTCTGAGAGTGTGTTAAATCTGTAGCCAAGATCACAGGCAGCTCTGGGCAAATCATTGGGCTGTTATTAACCTGCCTCCATGGCAACTGCTGCTTGCCAGCCTGAGGACAAAAAATGTTTTTATTCTGCTGAGTTGCACAAAAGGTTCTAGTGATGCCTTGCACAAAATGGCCATTGAAAAGGGAGATGCAGGGATGTGTGTTTGTGCTGTACAGTTTCATATTTAAATTGTTTTACAGTGCTTTGTTGGAAGTGGATATACAGCTGAAAATACAGCATGTTGGTCATATGGAAAGTGAAAACTAGTAGAAAATTAGAACTAAACGTATTTTAATACTACTTAATTTTGTCAGCTTGAGTTCAGAAGCCTTCTGCCTTCAGTTGTCATCAGTGCAAGTTACTGTGTGAGCATGAACTAGGCAAACATCTCATAGGCTTTCAGTTGTACTGTGAGAAGATACTTGCTCACTTGGGGTTACAGAGAAAGACCATAAAGCAGGTTGCCTGGAAAGCTTTCATTTTTTAAGAAATCCTCTGTTTTGCTTAAGTGTTAGTTTGGGAAGCTTAGTCAGCGTATCTTAGTGCTTGATGAGTTTCAAACTCCAGCTGCTCCTGGCAGTACTGTTTTAGGCTTGCTTTAAAACAAAATTATAAAACCATCTATGTTGCTTAGGCTAGCCATGGACTTAAGGTCCTCATACAAAGTGTTCACATCAAGATCTGTGGGGGGTCTGGCAGCCCCAGCACTATAATGAGGTTGCATCCTGCATTTAGTTACCCTCTGGTAGGAGGCTGTGGAGTTCTGCTGTCGATTTGGGTGCAGAATGGCTGTGGATGGATAGATACTGTCTCTTGGAAATGTGCTGGTTTGGGATGCTTCCTGTTCTTTCAAGCTGGCATCTCATTATTTCGCTGTGAGTTGATATCCCTCTGCTTCCTGCTTTAGTCTTGGTGCAAGGACAAGTAGTTTCTGCAGTCCCACATTTGGGCAGTTTTCTCTGCTTTTGCTCAAAATAGTGTGGTTGCTTTAGAGACCTCTAAGGATGGTTACCCTGGTCTACACTGATAAAACGAAGGCCCTGCAGATATTGTGATGCCTTTGTATGTAGGTGGTAGAAGAAGAAATAAAAGACTATGGTCGCAAAGATGCTATGTGCAGCTGCCAGCCTCCAGGAGGTGAAAGGGGCTCTGCTGCTGTCGGCTTGTGTTCAAAGGTTTGTGGATTAGTGGCAGATACTGCCATGTGTTCAGGTGGTAAGGGATCCAACTAACTCTCCAGGGCAAATGTTCTGCTGGTAGCTTGGAAAGCTGGCTGTGAAGTATGGGGTACTGAGTTTGGGTGTGTTAATTTTGAGTTCTGGTTCTACATCAATTTTAAGTTTTGCCAGGCAGGCTGCTCCCATTTTCCAAAACTGGCAGCTTTTCTTTCAGAGCTCAGCAGTCCCTTGCCTTTGCTTCCAGCTGTTCTGATTTCCTATCTCTGATGGGATCCTTCTGTGAAGCACGCTGTGGATCAACCTCTTCCATGCCAAGTAATGATCTAGTGTTTAGTCACCTTCTCCTTTAGTAGCATGGCCTGAAAAGCTGTTTGTTTTGTTCTGGCCTGTGGCCATGTGTGTTGAGCGTTGCCTGCTGGATCTGAGCATGGCTACTCTTGGATAATCCTTCTCTGCTAATCCTGAGCCAGGTGCAAGCATTTCTTGGATTAACTCTGGGAGGTTTGGACCTGACCTGGGAGCAGATGCTGCGGAGGCGAGCCAGCCTCACGTGTACAACTGCTGTTGTGTTTCACTTCTGAGCTGCACTCGGGTAGATTACTCAGAGCAGAGGATTGCTCTGCAAGGTCTAATGTCTGAACTCAACTCTGGACTTCTATGATAAGATGAAAGCAAGAGATGATTTTCCCTGATACCACACATTTGGATTTTGTTTGCCCCATCACTGCTAAGCTGCAGTGCTTGTTCATTTGGCAGTATTTTTGTCATGAAGATAGTTCCTATTGAGTGGACTCCAGCTGTGGGCTTGACTAGAAAAGCTTCCCAGGCTTGTTTCCATACAATTAGGTCTTGTCTGCAGTTAGTGAAGTGGCATTTCATAAGTCATTTTGGTGGTGATAGCCACTTAAGACTGTCTGGGACACTTGCTAGTGCCTCTCTAAAAGGAGAGTTTCCCACTTATGAAATGAGAAAGCTTTCAATTATTGGATGCATTATTATTCCCCAGTGCTTCATAGAAATGCTTGTTCTGCAACTCACTCATTAGTAGGGAAGGGAGGGCGATGAAAATAAACTTGTCTCATGTGGTGGATGGAGACTTGCTGATCTTCATGAGGGATTGTTGGGGCAGGAAGATGTATTGTATGTGTTTGCCAGCTGTCTTCCTGCCTTCAAATGTTCTCTCCATTTACCGCCTTCCAGTAGAAGCAGTGGGCTGTTCCTGCAACGTGCAACGCTGGTCGCTCCATTAAGCGTTGCCTTTAATGGCTTGTGTTTTGTGCAGTTGTATGAAATGCACATTAATGGAGACAGCTTAATGCCATTGCCCTGAAGTAATGAATTGGTATGGATTGCCATTACCATTAAAGTGCAGTTAAAAGCTGTGTTTGTTTCCGATTTGCGTTTCCCAGCTCTGCAAGCAGATGGGTTTTCAGGCCGCGCGGTCGGGAGGAACCTGGCAATTCAGCTGCAACCTCCTTATTACAGTATTTGTAGAGTAGCAACTGTTCGGGGGGGTCTTTTGTTAATTCAGACTGCTTAAATGGTACATTTCATTAAAACTATGATTATGCTACTGTAGAGTGTATTCAAGGATCACTGTAAATCCAGTGTATCCTATAAAGCTGGAAACGTATTGTCTATGTAGTACAGGTTTGTGTTGCTGCCCTCAACAAAAATTGCTACTCTTTGGCCACCATTCAGTTTCCCTGTCGTTAAAATATCTGTATCCCTATAAACTTAGATTTACACAAAAAGATACTAGGGAGCCATGGGAGAGTATAGGGTAGTTGAATTTTGTAGACCTGTGTTCTTCCAATGAAAGTGCAAAGTACCTTTTACTTTTTCCAAAAGGCTTTGTCATCTTTGTCATCTGGCTTTCTGAGTGGTACCAGTGTAGCTGGTTCTCCTGCCATTGGTAGAGCTGAAACACTGGAAGCTATGTATGAGCAGCTGAATCACAACAGATCACTTCAGACAAGTTTGTGGTTTTTTTGGTTTTTTTTTGTTTTTTTTTTTCCTTTTTCCATTTCATAGGCTGTCTCATTGATTTCTTGATCCTGTAAAGACAGGAGCATTCAGTCCCCCTTCTGGGCTCTGGGTCCATACCAACAGATCTGTAGGTCACTGCTTTAGAGGCTGGTGCTGTCTTGCACCACATAGATTTTTGCTTAGCAATGTCAATGCCTGGACCTTTTAGTCCCTGTGGCTTTTTACCAAGTGGAGGACAGATACTTTTTTCCTCATAATTTGCTTTTTGCTCATAACATTTCTTTTGCTTTCTCTTTTCTGCTTAGGTTGCTTTGAATGTTGCATTAAGTGCCTAGGAGGAGTGCCATATGCTTCGCTCGTGGCAACCATTCTCTGCTTCTCGGGGGTAGCTTTGTTTTGTGGCTGTGGCCATGTGGCGCTCACGGGAACCGTGTCTATCCTCGAGCAGCACTTCTCCACGACTGCCAGTGACCATGCTCTGCTGAGTGAAGTGTAAGTATGCCTCCCATTTCCATTATTCCTCACAACAACCTTAGGCTACATGAGTAGTGATGGATTCTCAAACCCCAGTCTCCATCCCTGAGTATTAGGTTGCTTGTTTATCCAACAGCGCTCAGTGGTTTTTTGGTGTTGACGCACAAAGAAATCAGAGCGTGTAATCCTACTTAACCTGTTTGTATTGGGACCAATACTATATAATATCCTCATCAGTGCTGTAGACGGTGGGACTGAGTACACCCTCAGCAGATGTACAGCTGACACCAAGCTGAGAAGTGAAGTAGTTATGCATGAGGGAAGGGACGTCATCCAGAGGAATCTGGACAGCCTTGAGGATTGGGCCCCTGCAGACATCATGAGTTTCAACAAGACCACCTCACATGGGTTTGGGCAACCCTTGGTATCAATTTGAGATGGGGGTAAAGGAATTGAGAGCAGCCCTGAGAAGGCTTTAAGGGTACTGGTGGATGAAAAGCTGGACATGAGCTGGCAGTGTGCACTTGCAGCCCAGAAAGCCAACTTTATCTTGTACTGCATCAATAGAAGCAGGGCCAGCAGGTCAAGGGAGGTGATTCTTGCCTTCTGCTCCACTCCCTTGAGTCCTCACTTCAACTACTGTGTCCAGTTCTGGAGCGCCCAACACAGGAAGGACATGGACCTGCTAGAGCAAGTCTGACTCCAGAGGAGGGCCACAAAATGATCAGAGAGCTTGAGCACCTCTTACATGAAGAGGGGCTGAGAGAGCTGGGGCTGTTCAACCTGGAAAAGAGAAGGCTCCGAGGACACCATATTGTGGCTCTTCAGTACTTAAAGGGGGTCTATAAGAAAGAGAAAGAAAAGCTTTTCACCAGGGCCTTTAGTGACAGAACAAACGTAGGTTTAGTGTTTGTTGGTGACACAAAGTTTGGAGTGATTACAGGAATATCAGGGAAGTGTTGTTCTATCCATCCCTCTTCAGAAGAAGGTGGACTGGTATTGTACAAATGAGGAAAAAGAGAGAAGAAAAGACTGGAAAGAACATAAATGTTTTTCTCTCCAACTGTAACATTTGGAAATAATGACCAGTTCAATATTCAAAGCTTTTGTGTACCTGAAGCTTCTCTGTGACACCAGAGGAGGAGCTGGAGGTGTATGTCAGGGCTCAACCCCTCTGCCACAAGCTTCTCATTTCACTTGACACTGAGGCATATGTGGGTCCTAGGCTCTGAGCCAGTGGTCTGAACACTGGGCCTTACGTGGACCCTCCAGAAGACATGGGGCCTTAAGCAGCCCCTCCAACTAGACCTCTAGGCTTTGTAGAGGCTTTTATCCAGCAGCAGTGAGGAGTTCTGCTCAAGCTGTTTTCACAATGTCTGCACACCAGTTTTGGGGTGCTGCCTGGGCCTGGGCTCAGCCTCCTGCCCATTTCTTGCCACAGGCCAGCAGCAGCCACAGGCAGAGCGCTTGGCTGACCCTTGGAGATAACTCGGTCCCAGGGCAGGGGAGTAGAGTGAAGAACGGCAGCTGAAAGCAGCCCAAGGGCTCTGGGCAGAGGTCCCTGTGCAGGCTGTGCAGTCTGTGAAAAGGGGATCCATGTGGCACATGTTTGTGGGTCAGTTTGCTTGCACTTAGCATGAGACTTTCTCAACTGACCCCTTCCCATCTCCTGGAAGCACTGGCATTGGTCCCACAGCACCCCATGTGGCTCTGGGACTGCACCCCACTGGGGTTTCATGTGTCCCTTCCTCCAGTATCTCCCAGCCCTGTGGTGTGGTGGAGCATCTTGTCCTCAGCTGCAGTGCAAGAGCTGCAGGGACCCTGCAGTTACCCAACTAATTTAGCAAGCAACTAAGCAGCTGTTCTTCAGCCACTGAGTAACAGAATGTCCTCGTGCTTGTATCTGTCACTCTTTGAGCAAAATAGAAGCAGTTGCAAAGGTAGCTGTAACGAGCAGCAAATTTTCAATTTTGGAGAATTGTTGGCAATGTTTCTTGTCAAGTCAGTGTCAGCAGCTGGGGAAATTTGTAATTTCTGCTGAAGCAGATGAGGATTTAGGCTCTGTGAAGGTCTAATAAGGCAAGGGAGAAGAGTTGCTAGAAGGGACAAATAATGTAAGGCACCCTTTGTAGAGTGGATTTTTAACCAGGTTTCATATTACTAATGTCTGGAAACATGTATCAAGTTCTTCCTATTAATGACCATGAGAGGAATTCTTAGGTTCTCTCTGAAACCATGACTTAATTTTTTTATGTTTTACAGCACAGGTGCAACAGATTTATCCTGTTATTTTTAATCAGGTTAGAAAATAAACATAACACTTCCTACATATAATCTAAATGAGCAATATCTTAATTTGATACAAGGGATGTGGTATGGGTAAATGGTAGTCAACAGTTTTTAAATTAAGCTAAAACATGCAGATGATCCTTGGACATCTCTGCTAGTGCTACTTAGTGGAGAGTGGTAAGGGTTGAAAAAAAAAAAGCTCAGGAAAAATATGTTTATCCTTAGAAAACTGGCAGTGTAAATGTATAAAATAAACCTCTCTGTTCTGTGAATATCTTAATCCAAAATAATCAACTTGCTTTTAAGAAGGCGTAAGTTATAGAGAAGTTGTGCTAATAACAAAGTATGATTTTTGGAGACCAGAGGGAAGTGTTGTGTGAAAGATTTGGCATTCTGGTCCTCCAAAACAATTGGCTTCAGATAGTGGAGGCTTGAAATTGCAGCTTGGAGCTGGTGGCTTGTGTAAGAACTGCAACACCAACAAGGGGTGCTGGGGCAGATTCAAGACGAATGCACATCAAGTATTGCTTAGCTGTAGAAGCAGGATAGTTGTACTGGTGCTCTCCTGCAGCCTGGTTGATAGAAATGCATTAAGGAGCCTTGAACTGTCTTTCTAGAAGAGGAGTTCTCTAATACCTATTACCATTTGGGTGGACTAACTGTTTTTAAAGGCCTGAAATCTAATGATTTTTTAATTATTATTTCCCTTTTAGAATACAGCTAATGCAGTACGTAATTTATGGCATTGCATCGTTTTTCTTCTTATATGGAATAATCCTTTTGGCAGAAGGTTTTTATACAACAAGTGCTGTGAAGGAGCTGCATGGAGAGTTCAAAACAACAGCCTGTGGCCGCTGCATCAGTGGAATGGTGAGTAGCATTAGAAATGGGAACAGGCATCTTTGCTTGCTAAAATCTGTTGGACTTTGTCTGACTTGCTTGCGTTTGAATGATTGTATCCTGCTGCCTTCTTTGTTTAAATCCTTATGAGTGATCAGAGCCAATCCCTGTTGCTGGACCTTCTTTGAACTTCAGGGATGCTTGGTCAAACCCAAATTCTGCAGGTGGACTGTCAGGGTGCTACCGTGGCCTCCCTTACCATAAAGCTGACCCACTGGTCTGAAGTTGATGGACACTACTAACTTTAAAACACTCAATGCAAGATGAAATTTGTGCTTTCAAACATGTAGCACAATAGCAGTGCTTAAAGGCAGATTGTAAAATGTCCGTGGTTTGCAGAGTTATTTAAGTGACAAACTGTAATCCCTCTGACTTCCATAGTCTGTTCTGCTTGAGGATGCTTGGATCCTTCAGACAGTAATGAATGAAGCTTCCCAACATCTTTGCACTTGAATTAAGTATTGCTGTCTTGCTTTTGCAGATGGCATAAAGATAGGATAATCAGTCTTTTTCACAAAGCTGAAACACTTAAAGCCTTGAAGTTACAAGGCATCTTCCCTTCAGTATACTTCTCCATTTGAAAAAAAAATTAAACAAAGTTTAGCTAAAAATAAAACTTCAGATTCTCACCCACGTTGCCCCCTAGGGCGCACTCTGCTAGAACAGAGGCATAACTATGTTTCTGAGACAGGATTTCAAAGCTATTTCTGCAAATCTGAATTCAAAGCTCATATTTATGGAGGAAGCTAAGCAGTATGACGGATCGCCCACGGGAAAGTGTGGGTGAAAAGAGAAGAGGCTTTTGATGTGATTGTTGCATTTTAATATGCAATCTATATCCTGTACTTAAAAAGTAGGTACTTTCAGCTTTTTAAATACAAAGGAGATACATGTTTATTTTCAAGGGGGTTAACAATTTTCCACTGTGCTGTTGGATACTGACTGAAATTTTCAAGATCTAATAAAAATAAGACCTATCATTTTCCAGTTAAGCAAATATTTGCTTGCTCTTTTTCGAGCAAGTATGATCCTCACTGAGGAGCAGATTAGATCTAAAGTAGTGTTTTCCAAAGATCCAAAATACAATAGAAACTTACACATACCTGCATCTCATTAGTGCAGACAAGTGCTTGTGCAGTTGAGTGGTTGCAGACACATGATTATCAGCTGCTCATACAAATACCAGTGTGGCAAATGGAAATACACATAAAATCGTGTTTTCATGTTTGCCTATATTTGTCCACATGATGAAGGAGAGAATTTAGCAGCTGAGTAAGGGCTTGGAGCTCTAGTAAGTCATGGTGTAAAACTTCCTGTATGCTGCTGTGTAGTGATAGAGCTGCTGAAAGCATCTGGATTACAGCAAGGTCTGTGAGGTGATACAATTATTTTAACAGATTAATGGCTTCAGCTGGGTATGGACAACAGGCTTTTGGATACACAGTGGGGGTTTTTTTGCCTCTTTGACCAAGAGCTTCTCTTCTTCTGCCTCCCTTACATTACCCACCAAGATCCTGAAAGGCAATCTTTTCCGTCTTGCATAAGGTTATTACAGAAGACAGACTTCCAGCTTTCCTAAATTATTTGTGTTGGCTGTGGTACTGCAGAATAGCCATTTCCCACAGTTATTGCATTAAATGTGAGACTGAGTGTGTCCTGTCCTGGCTATTTTGGGACTTACAGGCTTTGAGTACTTCCTGTCATGCACACTTCCACACAATAAAGTGTGTAAACCACGTTTTACATATAGTGCATCTATGGAAATCCTTTAAACTGGCCACTTGGTCCTCACCAAAATCCAAAGAGAGAAATCTCAATTCTCACATAAAACATACGGGTCTGATGTCTGGCACTATCTCATACAAAATAAGGTGTTCCAGTTCAGTTGAGTACAAATTAAAGTCTAGTTGAGTTTTTTGGTGGGCCTTACTTACGCAAGCACTTCCACCTCCCCACACACACCACCTTCTTTGACTGGAAAGCCTAACCAGTTGCTCAACCTTTGCCATAACATTCACAGTGCGGTTTCAGGGCATATGGACAAAAACCTATGGGGATGCAAACATCTACCACAGCAGCATTGGTTGAGCCCGTCAGTTCTGGATCAGGCTGAGACAGCCTTTCCCATCTGAGCTGTTCTTCTCTGACACACAAGTTTCCAGTGAGAAAGGGCAGCATCAGTGATTTACTGGGAGTAAAGCCTTTCCAGTTCACCTACAGTTAAAGGTGAAAAGCAGACACACAAGATGTAACGGTATTGCCCCACTTTCCAAGTAGGATCCTAATCCCAGTCCCAACAGGAGGAAGAAGCTAGGAACTGATGCCAGAGCTAGTGTTTCACCATAAAACTCAAAAGAAGAGGGAGAAGGGAAGAGGTCCAGTGGGAAGGAGAAGCTAAATGTTTCCAAAGCAATGTGACCTTAAAATCTTACCAAAAAAACCCCAACAAACAAAAACACGTAACACATGTGAAATGCATGTTTTTGCTTTTGTTTTGTTTTTATAAAGAGCAACTGCAAACCAGCAAATCTCAATGGAAAATCCATTAATGTCTAAGGTGAACTAACTAATTTTCTTCTTGGCAGCGTGTATTAGATCAATTGAAGCTTCTGATTTGCTGTAATTGTTGTGGTACGTTTTAAAACATAAGTATTCTCAAATGTTACACTCAAAATTAATTTCAGTAGATCAAGGAGTACAGGAAAGCTCTATGAACATTGAGTCACTATTTTTTTTCATTTTTAAGTTGAAAATAAATGCTGGTATGTTACAGTTAACTAAAAATAACTTTAAAATTGATTTTTATTGGAGTTTTATGGATTTTAGTCTACAACCAGCATCCCTGCTTAGCTGAGGATTCTCAGTCTCAGGAGGGCAAGCTGTTTACTCATGCAGACTGATGAAAAAGGAAGTGTCAGAATTGCTTTCTCAGTAGCACTTAAACTACCAAAGTATTCGTAAGCAACAAGAATAGTGACTTCATTTGGGCTTGGAGATAAAACGGTTTAATACTTGATTTCTGTAAGCATGCTTAAAGAATATTTTGAAGCATTTTAAAGGAAAATTCAAGTACTCTTTTCAAAGACTAAACGTTAAGTGCTTGTGTTTTCTCTGCCCAGTTTGTTTTCCTCACATATGTACTTGGAGTGGCCTGGCTTGGGGTCTTTGGCTTCTCTGCTGTGCCTGTCTTTATGTTCTATAACATATGGTCAACTTGCGAAGTCATCAAATCTCTTCAGATAAATGTGACAGTTCCAGGGGACCAGATCTGCGTGGATATCAGGCAATACGGTACTTATTTTAATCCCGATTAAATGCCTTATCCCTTCTCCTTGGTCTGTCTTCAGTACTTTTGCCTCAGCCTTATGAAATGAACCAAATGCAAAAGCATCTTGTATGTTTGAATGTGCTGTTACTTTTCTAATTAATTCAGATTACACTGAACTCTTTCCAGATGCAATCAACATAGATGAACTGGCAAGTCATTTATCTAAAATGTTTTCATAGTGGTTTCCAGTACTATAATATTAGTTTAAAAATAGATCAGCCTCAAAATAAACTGCTTAGAAACAGTGCTGAGAATATTGTTAACCAGATTCTGGTTTTTGAACCTGGATGCATGTATTCTTGACATTCAAAAACTGTTTTTACATTTAAATATGAAGTGAAAACCCAAACTTTGCTCTAACAATTACTGTAATTTGAAAGAGCAAGAACCTGCAGTCAGGAGCCTGCCTTAACTGTTAGTCAGTTAATACTGTTTTCTGATGACACACAGAAATCCAAGGGGGGTGCAGGAGCAGAGGAGTGGGGACAATGGTTTAAAATAGGGTCCGGCTTTTTGGTTAGTTCATTCCTTAAGGTGAATTTTTCCTGACATTGATCTTTTTGGTTTCCCTTGTGCAGAAGAGCTTTTGTCACCATTTCTTTTGGCCTCATTTTAGCTAGCGTTTTCTAGGAATGTTTCTTTGGACTAAGCCATTAAAAGTAGAGAAAAGAGATTCAGAGTTGAAATAGTAAGAAAGCTTTGGTTTGCTTTTCTATCTGGCCTGTAAGTCCAGTAGGAGAAGATAAGAGATACTAATTTTAAAAGCAAGAAAGTCCCAAATCAGTTAAATTTTTGCATCTGACAGTTAAATTTTAGCAACTGACAGCACGAGGCTGGGAAGATGTCTTCTAGCAGGAAAGCCTATGAGTGCAGGGAGGTGTCCTCTCTCACCTTTCTTTCTCTCCTGGTTGTTCCACAGCTGTACAAGCTCCATATGGGGCTGTGCTGTTCCTCTGATCAGTGAAATGATTTGGGTTGCCACGAGTGATGAGAGAGAGCAGGTCCTTAACAGGCAGCTTGTGTCACTGAATTGTCCGTGTGTTTTTGGATGGAAGTAGTAGCTAAAAGGCTTCAAGTGGATATTGCAGTTGCAGAGAAGAAGCTGGCTTTAAAGTAAATCCTGTAAAATCTTTTGGAAAGCCATACCCTCCTGAGCAAATTTCAATTACCTGCCCCTTACACAGCTGCTAATTCAAACCAGCTGAGTTTAAAATGCAAGTTATATGGAGGAGACAAACTGGTTTTCTGCTGTTTCAAATGGCTTTTGCTTAAGGTTTACATCTGTTATGGGCCTAAAAGTTAAAGCTATTCTAAACCTTCTCGATCCTATTGACTTTTCAGATTTTCAGTTGTGACAGAAAAGTAATGGGGAGCACATGAGGTACGGCAGACTGAATTTTCTTGTAGAAGCATTTATTTTAATGCTTTTTTACCTACAGGAGCCAAAACAGAAAAAAAATATAAAAAAATCCTTCTGTCATTCTTGCCTCTAGCTCCATATTCACATTCTTCTACAGTAGTTACTTGTTCAAGTAGAACTTAATCTAGAAAATGCTATCCTGAATAGTGCCAAGTACTTCTGAGATGCAGATTATCCCTTTCGGTGCTGAGTGGGGGAGTAGGCGGTATGTGACTAGACCTGAGGTGCAAAAACCCAACCAACCATTTGGCTGCCATATGAGAAAACCACATCTGAGAACAGGCCTTGGCAGCCAGCCTCTGTATAGGGAGAAAGCACAACCCGGGTGAGTTGTTTTAATTCCTCCTGCCAACTTTAAGCTGTAATGGTCAGCGCACGGATGCCCAGAATGGGAACACAACTGGCAAGTGGGTGGAAAAGATGAGGGAGAAACAGAAAACGTGTCTTGATTGCTAAAATTAGTGTTTTCTTTTGCTGTGGTATTTCAGGTATTATCCCTTGGACTGCTGTACCTGGCAAAGCCTGTGGCCCGATTTTAGAGAACATCTGCAACACGAATGAGGTACAGCAACATAACCTGTGTGCAGCTTTTGCCTCCAAGACACTTGGGCACAGTGTAATAAATAATTTGATGAAACTTTTTGGAGAAAACTAATACTAACAGTGTAAGGAGATAGATTTCAACACAACACTGAAATTATGTTAGCTCATCCAGAAAATTAAAATTATTTCAGAATGATTTTATTTTCTAAAGCTTTGAATACCTTGCTACAGAGACGTTTCTAATATCCTTATTCTCCAGAAGAGTTGACTTGTTTTTACACTATCCTCAATTACTTCAATGTGTTTACGTTTTTTTTTCTCTAGTTCTACATGTCTTACCACCTGTTCATTGTGGCTTGTGCTGGAGCTGGTGCCACTGTCATAGCATTGGTGGGTAGCATTTTTTGTTGTTGTTTTATTGTATAAGGGTTTTTTTCTGGCTTAAGATGCTTTAAGATTGAATTTTGTGTATCTTAAAAATAGTGATGTTAGACATTAAGGAGGGCAAGCTGTAATCTCCATCATTTGCCGCTATGGTTTGGACATTGCAGATCAGCAGGTCCTGAACTTTTGCTTTAAGAAGTCATCTTAACCCACCTCCTCCATCCTTAGGATAAAATTCTTTGCATGTCCTTTGACATCCCTTCTCCTGCCTGCTCTTCCTGTTTTTTACATCCACTGTTTCTTTCATTTTGGTAGTTTATTTGATCAGTTTCTTGTAACCTCTTGGGCTTTTTATCTGGACCCAGGCAGTTTGACTAGTCCAACCCTGCCATGCCAGTTTCAGGTTGCAGTTGGGAAAAGGGGCGTTAACACGGTGACTTGCTTCGTATGTCCTAACGCAGCCTCTGGCTGCCAGCTTCTGACCTCATGTCAGCCAAATCCAGGTGTAATAGTCATTATTTCTCGATGAAATAGCCTTAGGTCTGTGTGTAGGTTATGCTGTCTGGATAAACGGCAAGTTATTTATCTGGCATCTTCACCCTGGAAGAAGTTCAAAGTAACGTCTGTTGTAAAAGTATCGACAGTTGCCCACGTGGGCTTGAGCTGTCACCTTGCTGTATCTTACTCTCCTGTATTTTGTTCTCTTCCACCAGCTGATCTACATGATGGCTACTACATATAACTATGCTGTTTTGAAGTTTAAGAGTCGGGAAGATTGCTGCACTAAATTCTAAATTGTATAAGCCCAGTAAAGAGCTGCATTGCGTAGCTTGAAATACCACTGACACCCTAGGCTAAAAGTCTAGCTTTCTGAATTTTGTTACAGTAATTGTAAATAGCTTCAGTAAGCATCACTTAGCTTATCAGATTAATAAAATGACTTCTTGTATATGAACTGTGATGTGGATGAGATCTGGCTATTTTTTCATGTTGAGAGGACTCAGTTACTGTAGGGGTGTTTACAAAGCATCCTTCTGAAGAAGGGGTGTTTCCATTTCAAGTCTCCACTTGTTTTCAAACAGTCATCTCTGAGATAAATACTGGAACAGTTCAGGGTCAGAATTAGTAATTTATTCTTCATCCCCAAAACCCAAATACCACCCCCTTGACAAAATATCTATCATACAAAACAAAAAGAATAGTAAAGTAGTGCCGGTCTCTTTTGGAGGAAATAGATCCTTGATTTAGCGTTGCGTAAAACAATCACATTCTTTCTTTTGGACCCTGAACTAGTAAGAAACAGCATATAAATAGCTTCTGTTCTTGTATGGCTTGCACTTTAGTAACTGATTTCTCAGTAGCCAGATCTCAGAACTGTAAGTATGACTGCACGGGAAGCAAAACCATGCATAGATCATAGAGGCCTTTTTACACTGTTGGGATTAAAAAAAAAAATAAATGAATCAGTGTTTTCAGATGTAGATTTTTTGCATGAAGTATGGTGAAAAGAAGTTGGGAAGAGGTGAATGCACAAACTAGAAAAAATCCATACAATAATAATAATAATATTAAAGAAAAGAACCAGTTGCTATATAATGATATAAAACTCTTCACCTGAGGTTTGACAATGGAAGTTAAAAATGTAGTTATAAAAATACACGATTAAGACTTTTTAACCCAGAGATTGCATGCTTTTGCTTAGTTTTGGACTCATGTTTTGTTGTTTAATTTTTCACTATGTTAATGTAGCCTTGTTCACATAAATAAAATTGTTTACAGTTTCAGGCTTTTTTCAGGGGGAGGGTGGAATTCTCATCTGCTTGTTGGGGAAAAAGAATTACCAGGATCTGGGCATGGATATGCATAAACACCGCAACCTTAGGAAGCAATTCTTCTGATCACCTCATAGTTTACGGATTACATGTATTGCCACATACAAAACTTTTTTCCTGCTTCCCCCCATTCTGCATTTTAATTGATCCGTCCAAGTCTGTAGCTCATTTTATTGCTGTTACACTAACTTTCTCTAAATTGTGAATAACCAACTGAAATAATTATTAGCATGCCAAATTCTAGAGATCTTTGGAAATAGCCTCTGTGCTTGTTTTAATAACAGAATGCTTATTAACGTAGAATAACTATTTTTTGGTTGTTGTTTTAAAGAGCGTCTATTAATCTAACTAGCAGCTTGCTTTGCCTCTTGACATGCTCACTAGCCATCATGCTCACCCTTCTCTTCCAGATCCACTTCCTCATGATACTGTCTTCTAACTGGGCCTACTTAAAGGATGCAAGCAAAATGCAGGCCTACCAAGATATCAAAGCAAAAGAAGAGCAGGAGCTTCAGGATATCCAGTCTCGGTCAAAAGAGCAACTCAATTCTTACACATAAATGTTTGCCACAGTAATTCAGCAGAAGAATTCTGTAGCTCTGACAAATCAACAAATAGCTGCTCCGCAGTACAGATGTGTGTCTACCAAACAAAATTAGAGAGAAGTGCAAAAGCTTCACACTCCAGCTCCTGGAACACATTCGTAGGGAGATCTTCCCTTGGGTAATCTTCCATCCTTTCATACAGAGAATGGAGGTTTTATTCCAGGCATTTTAAAAGGCAACACTTCACAACAAGTGACCAAATTACTCTTCCTGAAGACCTTTGCTGTTTGTGCTGTGCAGAAGCCGTGGCAGGACCCAAGCCCGCAGGCAGAGCTCCCTCTCTACAGCCCTTAGGCAGAGGCATCTGCAGGGGGTGTGATTTAGTGTCTGCTTCTAAACCAAACGGCCAGTGTGGCAGGCCAGGATTCCCCACAGCTGGTGCTTAGGTGACAGCAGCAGCTCCTGCCTTGCAGCAGGGCTGGCTTTGGCCCTTCTTTTTCCCGCGGGCCACAGGAACCACCCTCTGCTTTGGTGCCACCTGTTTTTAAATGACGAAGCAGTCACCCTCCTGTGCTTACCTGAGTGTTGAGCAGGTGTCCCCCAAGTTTTAATCTTTTTATTCACTATTCAATGGAATGTAGATCCCTGGATCTGGATAATGATCCCCTTCTTTGAAAATAAATGTCAGCTTTGCCTTAATATTTATTTTCTATAAATGTCTTAGCATTTATATAGTGGCAGGAGACCATTATCCTACATTTTAAGTAAGTGAAAAGTGTTACCTTGTTAAAATGACACTGATCTGACCATTCCAAATGAGCGGATGAGGAAGTTTCCAGAGTTTTACACAAACAATAAAAATAACAGCCATAAAACAGAATACAGGATGTCCACCTTTCTCTATCTTGGTGCTTAGCAAATTTATAGTCAGTGCTTATGTGTTTTCCTTTTTACAAATTAATTAGCACATTAGGAAAACGTGGTGTTCAGAAAAAACAAACAACAGCAACAAAAAATAAACTGGTGCCATTTTACAGTCATTTCCCATAGAAGTTTGCCTTCTAATTACTGTTTTTTTTTCAGAAGCATTCAGTGATATCTTGAGTATTAGTGATGGTATATTTGGTGTTTGTTCTATATGATATATATATATATAAATGTTGGGGGGGAGGGGGATAAAATACATCAATCATTGGAAAAATTTAAATATTCAAGTCATGCCCATGTTAAGCTGACGTGTAATTTGATAGTTTTGACTGTTTGCTGAATATAAATCAAAGGAAGCACAAATTTCTTCAAGTCAGTATTAAAAGAAGAGGCATTTGGGGGGGGTTAACTTCAATAATAATTTTTTTTTTTTGTTAAATATTGAAGTCTAATTTGACAGTTTTAAAAAAGGGGCAAAGTTGATCAATGTAGAGCAAATATGACAAAATAGCCTAGTGTATGTTCTTACCTGTTGCATGAAGGAGACATTTCTACAGCAATGCAGGTGATGTTCTAGCCCAGTGTTTGCATAAGGGTAATAATGGAGGCAGTGTCTTAAAGCCTAATTCTTTTTCTAATTCAGTGTAGCTATTACTGGGAGTTTTTGAAGTTTTGTTTAAGTAGTCTAATATTTTTATGTAAAGAGCATTAAATTTTGCTATGTATAAATTTTTGTAACCTAACAGTGAATCAATATTTTCTATCAGTGCCAAGGGCTTCCTGTAGTTACATCCAAGTGTTAAAATAAATATTTGTAGATAATAGACAACACTTGTGTATGCTTATTTGAAACCAGACCTACAGCTTCTCCATCCTAGTGCATTTCTAGGCTTTGTCTCTTTCTGAAGTGAAACACGTTTTGTTGGATAGTGTCTGTCCCTTTGCTGGTGTCCTGGGCAGGGATGCCCCGTAGGTGTGCACTTCAGCATGGTAAGTCAGCCAGTGTTCCTAGCACGAAGTAGGTGGTAGTTGTTTCAGGCCAGCATAATGCAACAAGCACTACCTGTCCCCTTCCTGACCTCCAACAGGAAGAGTTGCTCTGAAATTTTGCTGCAACACCAGATTAAGCAGCTTCTCAAATTAGACCAGCCACCAAATCCCATTTTATCTTCATTTCTAAAAGCAGAGTTTATTTCTGTTGTGGTTTTGGTACCTTATGTTTCAACATCCAGCAAATTCAAGCCAGAGCTTCGGTTTTTGCCCCTGAATCCTGTCAAACTTGGCTTCATGTTCTGGTAGTTAGGACAAGATAAGCAGCCTCAAATGCAGTGCAAGTTGTAATATATGCTGCCACCCCAAATTACTTCCTTGATAAAACATGACTGTATTTTATACTGTAAATAAAGTTTAATGATCTTGCCTATAATCTACCTACAAAATACAAAGCTTAAATAAAGATGAGTTAAATAGCATTTTTATCTGAATCTCTCCATTCTGGGCTGGTAAATAGCAACAAGGTGATACACGAGGTAAAGCTGATTGCAACAGATGTTGCTTCCCCTGCCATAGCAGTTGAAGGGGCACATCAGCTTTGGTCTGTCACACGCTGCTCTCTAGCTGTGCAAGCCAAGGGTTTCCATGGGACACCTTTAAGAAGGTATCAGGATGACTGACTTTTGTGTTACCTGTACCCTGCTACTTTGAGCTATGGTTCATAGCAGTTGGAGGGGAAGGGTTTGGGCAGTGGGTTGGGTGTTGGAGGGGAGGGGGGAAAGAACAACTTGAAAAGCTGACAAAGTTTATATGAAGTCAGTGCCAAAGCCAATCTCTGCCTGAACATTTCTTTGCACTGCTTTGTCCTCTCTCTCACCCCACTCAAGGGCCTCCTTCTGGATTAGTAACACATCAGGGCTCACTGTTTTAATTCAATGACTGAAGCGATGAGACAGCTCAAAATCAGCTTTATTAATTTATAATTATACAACCTGCAGCCTTGGTGCCTAATAGTTATTACAACATTTTGTAGGCAGAAAGCTGCTTTATAAACATTTGTATTGTAAAAAAAAATAAAATTAAAAAAATCAGTAGCTATTGTTCACCAGAAGTCTTCATCAATGTCTCCATGAGAAATGTTTGCAGTGCTGTATTAAGGATAGGAGGGAGGGAAGGAAAGTGAGTCCAAAATAGTTTCTTATCTTGTTTTAAAAAAGACAGTTAAGAGATTGCCTGTGCTGCAATTCTCTTCCTGTTTCAGTGAGCTGAAGGCAATAAGCAATCCTTTAATGGTGAGGCTTTGGGCCATCATGAACAGAAAATCAGCTCATCTATCAGAGCAGTACTGTCCATCTACTGCTTCTGTGGCACTTTCCCAGGGACAAGAACCCTACCCAGATACAATTCAGGAGCACCAGCATAGGGTCTGGTATGTAAAGCAGCACTGTGAAGACACAGCTACTACTGAAGCATTGCTACAGTTAGGCAGAGCATTTAATTTTTTTTAACCATTTGTTATTTTTTTTCTGATATATATTTTCAGTTCTACATCTGCAGATAAATAGAGGTAGGGTTGGGCTCATCTTTTTCTTTCCTCTCTCAAGAAACTTTTTAAAAACTATGTATGCATATTGATGGGTGTCTAGAGAAAACCAACAGAAATGCCCAAGCTCTGGTGCCTCAGTGTCCTGGTGCAGGCAGCCAAAATCTCTGCAGGAAGTGTGTGAACTGGCTTGTTGGAAATCCATGATGCTACTGACAGATCAAGGCTAATTCAATGCCAGTAACAGATGACAAGCAAGGTGCAGCTCAGACAAACCTTCCCAGGGTCATTCCCCAAGAAGAATCCCTCAAACTTGAGCTCACTGTGAAGGAACTGATGCTGCTCAGCAGCAGATAAAGTTTTAATT